CAGCTTGTTTATTTTATCAGAGTCGTCCAATACTGATAATATATATTAAAAGAAAACTTATCTCTAAAGGGCCTTTATGCTGTTTCACTTCTTCAGATGTGATTGTATATGCTCCCAACAGAAATATTCTGAAAAGAAAACGTCATTGATAAATTCTTTATGCTAAATAAATCAATATTAAATCTCGATTGTCTACAACACACTTCAGAAATATCTATCCCTATTTTAATGTCTCCATAACACTGAATGGTGCCAATATCTTCCAGTAAGAGCATTTCTCTGTGATAGTGAGTGCACCTTGTTTTTCACAGTGGGATGAATTGTAGCAAGTAGGCATGGTCAACCAGCAGTTGCACAAGTACAGTGGATAAATACTGTATTTAGTGTTACCCACCCTCCACATGATCATCGACTTGTTCTGCAGTCTGCCTCCCGGCTCTGTTAGCCAATTGCGAGACATGTAGATTTACTCTCCAGTGCTCTGAACTACTACCGCTGACCTGTCCCCAGCTCTTAGTGGCTGTCACATCTCAGCTCATGTGGCTTGAAGAGATTTCACTGCAGTACCTGGTTTTTTTTCCTACCATCTCAAAGGCCATTTTTTTCAAATCTGATTACTTAAGTGTAGAGTCTTGAATCCATATTCAGACTAGGGTTGTAAATACCAATTTAAAAAAAATATCTGTTTAACATGTTGTAATGACAGTGGTTAAACAGCTAATTGGTATTGCAACCTCCAACTTGGCTTGCGTGGTGGGGCTGCTCTTGCCCAGAACCAGCAGGGTACTTTCAGCCCCCTGAGGTGTGGCAGGGACTCAGCGGCTCCCTGGGGCCCCAAATCCTTGCCCCTGCCAGACCCCACAGCTGCTGCAGATCCTGTGCAGCTGTTTGCAGCCTGCCTGCTGCTAGCAGCCTGGGCTCTGTGGCAGGCAGCAGCAGAGATCTGCCCAGACCCTGGGCTGCTCACAGAAGGCAGCAGGGAGGCTGCAAGTGGCTGCATTGGGGTCCATGGAGCCTAGCTATAGGTACTAGCTATTAATGGTTTAACTATTCATATCCCTAATTCAGACATCAGAATAACAGCGACCTGCCTGATGCGTGAAGATATCCAGTACCTACAGCTCCTGATGCCTTCCCTTTTGAAAAGCAGGCTACTTTTATTTTGATGCCTGCCTATAAATTTGATTTGGGAAACTAATTTTGGAGTTTAATATACTGACCCTAAATGGATCTTTCTTTCCTGAGCATTATGCTTAAAAATCTGTTTTCATTAAACAAGGCCACAGTATGGATGCACTCCAGAATCAGTCTGTTAGACCACTGTGTAAGAGCACCTTTGCGTAAGAAGGATCCCAGTGACACACAGAAGTCTACTTACCTGCCAATGAAATGTAGCCCCTCCTGAGTAGGAACATGAGAGCTGTTATTCTTACGACAAGACTATGGTACAGTATAGGGCAGGAAGTGAAACCCACATGGCTGATCCAGGGAGATAAACTGTAATTATGTGAACTGGAAGCAGTATAAATATTTCAGTCTTAGAATTTGTTTTAAAGACTTATGTATTTTCAGTTTCCCAGGGAAGCTGCAAGAATCATTTTCTTCCAAAACCAAACAGTAGCTTCCACTTTAGCAGGATGGATGTTTCCACAGGCTGTCAAGCAGTCTCTTCCTTACACTAAAAAAAAAACAATCATTGCCCAGTTCCTTGGCAGATGATGTTCAAACTGGAGACTAGGAGAAGCTGAGCTGGCTCCATTACTTGCTTCAGCCTGCTTGGCAGGCTTTGAGGACAGTGGAGCAAACACCATCAGGGACATCAAATTATATTGATCAACCTTGTAGCTTTGTACTTCCAGGAAGTTCCTGCATGCAAACAGCAACAACAGCCTAACGCCACCAATAATCACACCTTTCTTCTGGAAGGTGTGTGGCCTTCCTGTAAACCCCTTTCAAATGAACAGGTAAACCTTAATGACTTTGCTCCCAGAAACCAGTTTGCAAATATTTGTGGATGGCGAGGTGCATCTTGCCTCCTGTTTTCTTCTGTTGCTGTCATTTGTATCATTTAGACCAAGGCATCCTATAGCATATGAAAGCATAGTTCATCCCCAAAATAAAATGACCTCATATTTGATGGTTGTGGGTTTTTTAGCCTCATCTCCTACTGGATGTGTAGTATTTGGTGCATACACACTCTCAATTCATGATGCCAGTCACTGTAGTATCTGAATAGCTTCCAGAAATGCACGGAGCCTCAAAACCCCTTCATGAAGGGAGTCAGTATTATCCTTGTTACAGATGAGAGAACTGAGGCACAGAGAAGTGGTAACTTACCAAGGTCACTCAGACTGGATGTAGGCAAAACTGCTGGGCTGATACCTGCTTTGCGAACAAGATATATTTTACATTAAGGGATGAGCAAGCAGTTGGGAGAGTTAACCAAACTGGCACATTGCTAGCAGCAGCCAGAGAGCTCTCCACCAGAGACAGTGTGGCCAATCCCAGAGAGGTGTTCCCACAAGAAAGCCTGACAGGGCTGCAAGATCCTCTGTTTGCTCTCTCCATTTTTGTGGAGATGGTTCCAATAATTGTTCTCCAAATGTCCTTGATGCTATCCCCAAACACCTTGATGGTCTGTTTTACTTGGAGAAAAGGGAAATGCTTTTGGTTAACTGCTTCCTTTCCAAACCAGTGACAATTCTGCAAGAACTTTCCTGTCTCATCAAATGGGGGAAATTTCTATGGTAGAGCAGAACCGTGTAGTATTCCTTCTACCTCACAGGATTGGCCTGTATTTGGATTTTCTTATCTTAGCTGCCAAACTCTGGGGGAGAAATGCTTCAGTTACCCTTTCCCAGCTCTCAGTTGCTTACTGCCTGTGTGCACACCTGCTCTGCTCCTTACTTAAGAGCAAACCCAGTGCTCCTAAAATTTTTTGGACACGTGTTAAGAGGGACTTCAGGTTTTTGTCTGCACAACTGGCTCAGTGTGGGAAGCTGCTGTTCAAGCTTCTTATGTCGTTGTCCCCACCACTAAGGAATCTGAGTTCATCTCTATTTTGCCTTTTTTTTCTTTAGTCTGGTAATCACATGGGCCATTTGTGGGGGTTTTTTCCTTGATGTCATTCGTGTCTCTACCCCAAGAGTTGGCTGGGGACTTGACTACTCATTTAAGGCAATGAACCACCCACCCATGAGATGTTAGTTATCAAATATCAGTGTATGACACAACATAAAAATGAAAAGTTTTATGGCATTCCCACATTCTCCAGTTTGTTCGTTAATTCTTTTGCTCTTGTGTGTCCATGGACATATTAAAAAGTATAACCAGGCACACGTGGCTCTGAGATGAAGTTCAACCAGAAAAACATGATAGAAGTTTTAAATATTTGAAAGGCTACCATAAAGAAGAGAGAGCAAGAATTGGTCTTTTTGCCACATCAGGCAATTAGTGTATATAACAGAAAAGCAGATTTACATCAAATCTCAGGAAAGCCTTCCTAATCATAAACACAGTAGGATAATGGCATAAGCTTCCTAGAGAAGTTGCAGAATCTCCTTTCAAGAAGAGGCTGGATAAATCAATTTCGGATGGTTTAGAAACAACAAATCCTGCATCTATGCAGGGGATTGGACTTCTTTGACTGCTGAGGTTTCTTTCCATCTGTATACATGTATACAGGAATGAATTATGGATCTTGCCATTGTATTTATAAGTATGTGCTCTTAATTAATATGAGAAAATATAATACTTCAGAGCTTGAAGGCAGTGGATTTCTGGCATGGCTACAGGTATGCCTCAGCAATGCTAACTGCACCACCACCATGCAAGAGGCACAGTCCCCTACCCTTA